TTATATAACCATTGATATAATTAAAATACTATTAAAATATTAATATGTTGGTATCGTTACAAAACATAATTATTGATTCTTTTCATTTTGTTTGCATTGTTTTTCATTGTCAAATTCAAATAAAAGGGGTTGGCTTAATTTACGAATCATAAAACCTAGAAAAATGCCAAATTTGGCATCAAAAACCCTAAATTAATACATCCACTTTCAAATTTATACCTTCAGTTTCACCCCTGTATCAATTAAATAAACAGCCAAATATTTTGTTAAATTATTTTCAGTCATTCTTTTTTTATGTTTGTTTCATCATCATTTTAAATTCCGAAAACAAACATTAAGTGTTTAAAATTTATTGTGTATCGTATTGACATAAATACAACAACAAAATGTTGTTTTTGAATTTGAAACATCAATTATATTGACTGAATTAAAATATTCTACAAAAAGATTGGTTTTATTTTCCATTGTTGTTTTAATGAGTTTTTATATTGTTTTATTTAGTTTGTGAAACAATACAAAATGTTTTTAACAAATAACAATAAATATTATATTTTACTAATATTCCAAAAGAACTCGACTTTAGTTTAATTTTTTAATAAATTATAATAAAAAACACAAAATAGAACAATTAAAAAATATCCATCATAGCAATAATTAGTTCTAAATAAAAAAATATATATTTAAAATTACTATTTAAATAATTAAACAACTAATTAACACCAAATGGAAAAGCTTGCAAATGAAATCATCAAATTTTGCACAAAATCAAAACCAATTCTTTCTCAAATAGACAAACGTAAAACTTTTATTGACGACACGACTAAAACTTTCAAAGAGCGACTTGAGTTAGCTGAAAGTGCGTTTGACCTTCTTGACGAAAAAATCCAAAGAAAAAAGAAAATGGTCAATGACCTGAAATTACTTCAAGAAAAATTGAACGACTCTGTTAAAGATAATGAAAAAATAGTTGATCTTAACATAAAATTATGAGAAGAAAATTTCAAACCAAAAGAAAACGCCTTTTTAAAACAAAAGAAAAGGTTGAACGACTTCAAAGAACTCAATTTTTCACACAAATTCCAAGATAATAACATTAACACTGATGAAATGGAACAACTAGAGAAACTAACTCAGAAGAAAATTTCTTCTGTTGTTTTTGACAGCGACAAAAATGTGTGGACTTACAGCAATACAGTATTTGATAACTATTATAATCAACAATCAAATTTGCTTTATTTGATCGAAGACGATAAGCACAACAAATTTGGTTCTGTTTACGTTCAACAAGACAATAATTATTATTTTACCAATTGATTCGTTTGTATTTATACAAAGAAATAATGACCCATTATAACAAAAGGATTTTGTGATAAACAGCCAAAAAATTGAAGAAGCTAACGAGTTGTGTAGTAACACTTTTCATAATTTGTTTGCAGATTTTTATAAACGGAAAGGCATGGATACAGAAAATACATATTATTGTTATGTAAGAAAAACCCAGTCAAAATCATTAAATTTAAATGGATTTACACCAAAAAGAATAGTCGTGTTTAAACTTGAATAAAAATATATCGGTAAATCATTGGTTTAAACAACTTATTTTATGTTTTTATAATGAATTATCAAAAATAACACTTAATTTTTATAAACCAGTTTTTGAATAATCATAAAAATAACTTTGTATTTTCCTGTTTTGATCACGTAAGGCAATCCACCAAATAAAATTCAATAATGTATAAAAAGTATTTGATAAACTTAAGTTTTTAATTAGTTCATAGACCGTTTGAATTTAGTTTAGTGTTATTTTTAGTGTTAAGCAACTTATCAGTTAAGATCCAAAACATTTGATATGTTATATAAACGTCCAAATACCAAAAACGTGTAATAATTATTATTAATTAATATTTCATTATTATTATTAAAAACCAACAGAGAAAAGAAAATGTCTTTTAGTTCATTGCTGACCCAGTGGCGAACTTCTGTAACTTAATAGTCACTCTCTTACTCTTGTCGAGGTGTTGGTAGTAGTCGCTTAAGATCTTAAGTGACTCGTCACGACCGAAGTGGTCTGGCAATTTCTTCCCTTCAGAGAGCATCTTTCTGACCATAGTTCCCGAGACAATAACTCTGTCCTTCTTAGTGTGTGGGCAAGTTCTCAATGAAGCCATTCCGTCGCATTTCTTGCAATAGAAAGTCCAATCGATCTTCATGGGTTTAGTGAGTAATCTCTTCTTTGGGTCTTTATTCTGTGGGATGACATCGAAAATCTTCTGAGCATCAAAAGGTCCATAGTAGTCTCCAACACCTGCGTGATCTCTACCAATGATCATATGAGTGCATCCATAATTCTGTCTGAAAGTGGCGTGAAGTAAAGCTTCACGTGGTCCACCATATCTCATATCAAGTGGATATCCTCCCTGTAAGACATTTTTCTTCACAAAATACTTGTCGACCAAAGCATCAATACACTTCACTCTAACTTCAGCAGGGATGTCTCCGGGTTTCAAGTTCCCAACCAATGAGTGAATGAAGACTCCATCACATACTTCAACAGCAATATTGGCTAAGAACTCATGGCTTCTGTGCATCGGATTTCTTAATTGAAGTGCTGCTATTGTCTTCCATCCCTTCTTTGCAAAGTTCATACGACTCTCTTCGGGGGTCATGTAAATTCCAGCATACTTCGTCAAGAATTCACCTCAGATAATGTAACAACCTTTCCAGAGACATTGAATGGCTTCTGCTCCATCACTTTCTCTACACCAGGGTGGTATTTGTCTAAAGTAGTGAAGATGTCATTGCACTCCATCTCTTTGTCTTTCTTGGTCATTTCATAGACTTCATCTACATCAATTGTACCAGAAATGGGTTGAACGTCTTTATTGTAGGAAAGAGCAACCTTCTGACCACGGCGAAGCTTACGAGCATCTTCTTCTGAAACAGACATTGTGATTGGAATCGGCCAAAATGTCCCATCTGCTAATGTAAAGTTCTTGCAAACGTTGAACCAATCTGCACGATTCATAAAACCGTCAAGTGGTGAGAATCCTCCAATGCCTTTTTGTTATTACAGTTAACATAAAAAACCCAATTCACAAGAAATAACCAAATGCAAGAACTATAAATAACAAAATTTATAACATAATATTTTTACGTTTTTTAAAATGAACTGTTCTTAAAAAATAAAAATAATGGAAATTGAAAACAGCAACAAACTTATTGAAATTAATGAAAGTGATATTTTGAACATTGAAATTGACTTGATTCCTTTTAACGCAATAGAAATGAGCAATTTCGAAGATATCAAAACAAAATCCAATCAGCCATTGAATTCTATCAACGAACAGGAATTGAAATTGCGAATTGGAAAATCTTTATTCAAATCTGGGATGTTGTATGACAAGCCAAACTCCACTACAGTATTTCGAGAACTGATTCAACCCAAGCATTAAAGTTGTTTTGTTTCATCATGAACAAACCCGCATTGAAAGAAAAACTGTTTTCATTTAAACTCTACAGAGAGCAAGTCATTTTTATTAACAAAATGACTTCAAAACATTTTAGTCAAGGTGTTGTGGGCGCATTTTTCGGGGGTTCAAGAGGATTAATATCCAATCAAATATCAAATCAAAAGAAAGATCAACAGTTTGGTCAAAGAAATCCGGGTAGGCCGTCACTGCTTTCTGGAATCACTAAAACAGTTATTAAGAACGTTATTGTCGAATATAACAATCAAAACATTGCTTTGACTATTCAAATGTTTTGTGACATTGTCGAGTATTTAGAAGGAACAAGACCACAAAGTGATACAATGAGAAAAATACTCGAAAGAGAGTTCGATTTAGAAACATCAGAAATAGAGTTCGATGAAATTGAGAGAATCAACATTACACCACAACCAATACTTGATAATTATAAACAGTTGTCGGAAAAGTTGAACAGTTACAAGATCAAAGACAAAATGTTGTTCAATGTCGACGAGATGGGAACATCTGAAGAATCAAGTCGAAAGAACACACGAGCTATGGTACCCAAAGGAGTCAATACAAAAATTCGTGTTGCCAATGGACAAAAATCAAAAACAACCACTCTGATTGAATGTATAAGTCTTGCAGGTGAAAGAATCAACGAATCTTGTGTTATTGATAAAGTTCATTACAGTACAGTTTTGAACAAATACTTTAGAAACATTAAGTTGTATTGCAACACTTCTGGTTTTGTAACCAGTGAAATCTTTATGTTGTGGATACAAGAAGTGTTCATTCCAGGAGTCAAGAAGATCAGAATGGAAAATGGATACCATGATAGTGAATATGCAATACTGATTACGGATAATAATAGATGCCATGTTGATGATGGTATTAAACAAATCTTGTTGCAAAACAACATTGTGGTTCATTATCTGGTTCCACACACCAGTCACCTGTGCCAACCACTTGACTTAGTTGCATTTGGATCCGTCAAAAGAGAAATGAAATCGTTGAAACGTGTATTCAAAACAATAAAGAGTGTCGACTCCTTTAAAAACGACACTGTACCTACAAATATACAAAATGAAAATGAAAGTGCATTTGACCAAATCCAACATTTAAAAGTATCATTTCCACAGTTGCTGCCCAATGAATTGTTTGAAATGGCAGAAGAGTTCAAGCACAAAAAGTGCCTTGGTACCTTTCCGAGTAAAATAGCAAATCAACTCAAAACTTTACTCACTTCGATAGCAGATGCCATTGTAACTTGTCCAAGTAAAACCAAAGAATACGATGATGTTCTTTTTGGTGTTGTTTGTAATGGGTGCAACACAGAAGAAACTTCACTGTTTACATAACACCGGTTGACCAATCTAACCAACATACACACCAAAATAACAAAAAATAGTAGACAGTCTGTATTCGATAGTAAGGTTGTTGGAACAAGAAGAACGTGTATTCGAGTCAATTGAAAGAGAAGAAGAGAACGACATGGCCAAGATCATAAAAGAAACCTGTTTATCTGGACCAGGTTATGGTGATTTGTTGATTAAAAAGGAAAGAGCATCTTGGGGGTCTACAATTTCAAACAAGTTGATAACAATTCTCAAGTCAGTAAACAAAGCACTTGACCCAGTTACAATTATCAATTCTTTTGAGAGAGCGGGAATTGTATCGCGTTTAGGAGAAGATGGTCAGTATTACGCATACATAGATCTGAAAGAATCCAAAAGAATGGTCGAGGAAATCCCGACAATTAAAACTCTCGATGGATACGAAAATTTGATTGTTGTACCAGAAGACTCAAAATTGAGAAACAAGGTCAAAGCGGTGCCACCAAAACACCTTAGAAGAGCTCAACAACTAAAGATTGATGTCGATAAAGCAATGTGTCATGAACAACACGTCATTTGTAGTAATAATGTTGTTTTGACACAACAAGTTTTTATGGATACATCTTTGACAATCCCCGATACCACAAATTTTGTTGGAGAATATGTGTCATTACCAATGGAAACTGAAGTATTTTTAGAAATAGATACATCAGACAATCCAAGTGAAAGTAAACCAATTGATAAATATGCTATCCAACCTATTTATCAAGAAAGTGATGACAATTCACTTTTGAAAAACAACTTGCCTACATCTTCTTTTCAATGTGATCAAACCATGTCGAATATTGAACCTCAAAAGTCCAAACCGGTATCTAAAACACCACCATTACACCAGACGCAGATGCCGTCGTTAATTCATAAAGGCAAATCAATTGTTTCGTCTCCTAATAGCCATTCAGTGACTTTTTTGAATTCCAGACTCAAAGAAAGAACTCATAGCAAAGGAAAAAGGCATAAACCTTTTAAGTGATAAATTACCCGATTTTTTGTTTTTAACAAGGAGAGATCCGTTAAGACCTCGATCCATGTTAAGATGTTTTTTTAGTTACAATTTCATCTTTTAAATTGACAAATTTACATGTTTAATCTGACTATTTTAAATAGGAAGTTCTTTTTGATTTTTACAAATCTTTTAATTTTATTGGTCATATTTTTATTTTTTTACCTGAAACCAAACTAATTTTTGTTATTTATTTTTGTTATTGTTTATTCTTGCATTAAGTTTTTTGCTGTGCATTGAGTTTATTCTTTTTATTGTATTTGAAATACATTTTTATATAAAATTTCAATAAATAAATTTTATTTAACATTGTATAATTTGTGAATTTAAATAGTTTAGAACATATGTTTTATGTTATATTTAACAATGTTTATATGTTACTTAGTTAAATTTAAAAGTTGTATTATAATAATTCATACCAAAAATAAAGAAACAAATAGAAATAAAACAAACCCATCATAACTAAATCACCAAATTCACGAGATGAAATGTCGAGCTTAAGAAGTGTTTCAGCTGCTTTGATTAACTCCTCCTTCTCTGCTCCATACTTCAGGGGTTTCACTAATTTGCCTCCATGTGGCTTGATAAGTGCGTCTAACTTGGCTTGGATGCTCATAACAATTATAGCAGTTAAGTTCTCTCCTTAAATATGTCGGTCATTTTTTATAAAGGTTTATATTTCATCATTGAAATGTTAAAAAGATTAGAAAATCTTTCGTATATTTGTTAATATTATTATTTTATTATAAATAAACCATTATAATATATTTATAAAATTATTATTCAAAAAGTTGAATTAAAAACATTAAAATTCAACAGTAAAAATAATAAACAGTTAGTCTAATTTTGATTGACTCAATTATTTAATCGATTTTTATGTACACGAAATTATTAAAACAAAATAAAATAAAATAACTTTTTATGATTCGTCGTTTCGAAAATGTCCACTTTGTGTATATTCTTTATTTCAAAAAATGTAATTATTAAAAAAAATAATAATTTACAACTTCATCCTTTTGTTTAAATTTCATAATACTTATATTACTTGTAATACTATTGTATTTACTATTTTGAATTATTATTAATAATTGTTTTCATAAAACCATATTCAAATTTGATTGAAATAATAAAAAACAAGCTATAAAAGATGTGATACAAAGTTCTGACAAGAACCAAAGTAACCATATACAAAAATAAAAATTCTTTAGGTGTGTGATTTTGATCAATAAAAGTGGCCTACACACCAATAGAATAAAATGATTTCCCACATATTTAGCACTAAAACCCCGAAAATAATGTCGATTGCAAATTTAATAATTATTTTAAAAGAATAAAGAATTGGTAATAAAAAATGGAAAAAAATTTTTATCGAACAAAAATTAATTAAAAAATGATAGAATTAAAGCAGAAAATTCTCCCTCAAAATATAAAACTTTAAATGAAAATGATAATAATATGCATCTACACCCCAATTACAAAAACATGTTATTAAAATATTAACATCGACCTCTAGTAGTCGATAACAGCCAGTTGAGAAAGTGCTGCAAGACGCCAAACTGGACAAAGGCAGCATTGATGATGTTGTGTTGATTAACAATTTAAAAAATTCATGTTATAACTTTAAACTCACATCTACATGAACTTAAGATATCAAAATTGATTATTTTGAAAAACTATGGTTTAAATACAACATCTGTCGAAAATATAAAGATGTTAACAATAAAATAATGAAATGTTGTTTTGATTGACAACAATCAATTAAACAATAATTTATTAAATAATACAAAAACAATACAACTTGCAATGTAAATCATTAAATACTTAAACAAACAAACAAAGTCATAAAAGTGGTTTAATAAAAAAATAACATTTTTAAATTTCAATAAGTAAAAATAAGTGATTATATTTTTTATTCATTATAAATTGTTCAATTTTTTGTTTCGGCATTTGACAAATATCGTTAAGATTATTTTAAACATTTTTTGTTAATTTCCATAAAGTCATCACAATTGAAAAAAATATCAAATAATATATTATTTTATTATGTATAAATTAAAATATATTATTCTATACAGATAAGGGAATTGATATATATAAATTAATTTAACTAAAAAATATAATTTTTCACTACAATTATAAATTGGCAAATTGTCACTTTTCTCAATATTTGCCGAACATTAAGGTTTGTGAAATTTTGGCAAACATTTTAAATATCCAATCAAACAATTTAATTTATACATATTTTAATTATTATTATTATATTTACATTTTTATTAAATAATGTTGTGTAAAGCTCGATGATATTCAGTTTATAAATATCATTTTTATGTTTATTATATGTAAAACGAACATTATTAAATCATTATTCAATTAACTAATACAACTATTGATTAATAATAGTAAAAATTAATTACACGTCAAAATAACATTTGCAAACTATTATATATACAGTTGGGCAATTAAACCTTAGCCCAGGAAATTAACCTTAGCCCAAAGAAAAATTAATTATTTTCTATTGTTATATTAAAATAATAAACTATACCTAAATAAAAGAAAATTTTCTAAAACATTTGTTTTTTAGTAAAAACCCGTGTTTTTAAAGAAAAATATAGTAATTTCTTTGGGCTAAAGTACATTTCCTAGGCTAATGATTATTTTTCCTACTATATGTTTATAATATTTAATTGTTATTTTAATAATTTAATACACAAAAAACGTTTAAAAAATTATAGAAATTAATTATAAAAATTAGAAATTTCATTTTATCTAAATATAGTTTATAACACTTATATAGTTTCTTAAACAAAATAATTAAAAGAATAAATAACTACGACTAGAAACAAGCGAAAATGTTTATTTCCAAATATTTTAAATAATTATCAAATTTAATAATAAAATATTTCTTATTTATTCTAATATTAATACAACAATTTGTATTTTTATCTATAACACGCGTTTATAAAATCGAAAAAACCTTTTACATGCAATTTTAATGTATTTGCTCAGAAAAACAACGTTGAAACGGTACACATTTCATATATAAAAAGCCAAATAATTGAACTTCAAAACATAGTTTTAAAATGTTATTCCCATTATTGTTAATACTCGTTCTCGAAGTCTCTTCACAATTTATTACAAAAGAAAGTAAAAGAGATGTTCAAAATAACATAAATGTCGCTGTTGAAGAAGTCCGTCAAACCCGTATGAGAGAAAAGGATGCATTTATTGATGACTTGAAACAACAAATTTCAGAAAAGATAAAGAAGGTAAATATTGAATATCCACCTGGGGTAATTCGAAGAACTGCTCCTTCTAATAAGGCAAAAGGATCAGTGGTTGAAATGTATACCTCAGAACAAACGTACCATAATAAACTAATAGAATTAATAGAATATTGCTTTGACCATCCAAATGTATTTGGTCATGACATTGTGTATGACTTGAAGACTATTATTCTCCAACAAACTGCTTTGTTGCAAATCGCACAAAGAGCTTCTAATGATCGAAATCCTGATGCTCTCAATACATTGTTTAAAGTTTTTATTAAGACTTTCAGTGGAAACAAAATGTTGAAAAACCTCTACATTAAGTACTCGAACAAAGATATTATTATTAATAAAATCAAAAAAAATCTCCCAAAAAACCAACGAATGGAAGCGCAATCATTGGCCACTGTTATTTTACAAAGATTACCAAGATACAGAATGTTGTTGGATGCAATTGGAAAGGCGGGTTATAAATGGTTTCCCCTCTGGAAACAAACAAACAGCATCATGACAGAATTTCTTGCTGATGTGAACAATCAGTTAAGAGGTATTAACAATTTTTTAACTGTTTAAAAGGAAGGTTTTTGATGTTTTTATTTTTGTGTAAATAATTATAATGATAATGTAGTATCCTATTTATTAATTATAAATTATAAAATTGGAAGATACTTTGGTTTAATAAAACTAACTATATTTTATTACAAAAAACAATTTATTATTAATATTTTTTATAACCATTGAAAATCATATAACTAAAAAACCAAACGAAGAATCAAAATAATATCGAGACACTTTTATTTTAAATAATATCCTTAATTTGAATATACAACACATGTAAGTTAGAACTTGTAATCGATCTCAGTTGTTTTACATTTTGTCTATTTTACATAAAAATTGTATAAATATAAATATTTAGGTTACAAGTTGGTTTAATAAATAAAAAGCACATTTCAGTTATTGTACATTGTGATTTATTCGAACAATGTTATATAAAATCTGATTTGTTGTTATACATTCATTATTTTGAAATTTTTTTTAAGTTTTTTAATTGCCAAATTGTGTTGTATCGATTAAATAAACGATTACATGATTTATTCAATAAATTTTTAATTGTGCATTACAATTTTTATCATATATCTATTTCAATTTAAAAACTAACATTAAGTGGTTGCAATTGATCATGTACTAAAGAAACACAAACAAAAATGTTGTTTTATTATTTTAAACGTTAATTTTATGGATGTGAATGAAAATAATTCAACTAAAAGTTTGGTTTTATTTTAATTTTACTTTATTTTTTGATTTTTATTAACATTTTTGAAATAATACTAAATTTTTAATATTTTATGACAATAAATATTTTAATTTACTCTAATTCACTAACAAGCCAGACTTTTATCAGCTCTTATTTATTAATACACTTCATTTTAAAAATATAAAAATAACATTAATAAAACTTA